GCTCCTGCTTTGCCATTTTTGCGAGCACCTCGCTCTCGTCAATGTCCCTTTGGAGCCTTTGGAATCGAGGCTGTATCGTCACTTCTGATGGTGGCACGACACGCTTAGGATCAACCGTTGATCGTGCTTCGGAAGGATCATCGTGCAGGTCGCGCTTTGCCTGAACAGTGCGCGGAGATGCTGATCTTTTCGCAGCGACCCTCTCCTTGCCTTTTCCATCGCTACCGGAGACAGATTCGTGGGCTACATGCGGAAGCATGGCACTACCTGACGCGACTGCAGCATGTGTTGCGTCAGCCACAGCTGCTCCCATCTGCACCCTACCGACTGTCCTCTTCCATAACAAAGGCCACCTGGCTCTGCTCTCTTCCACGCTAAGCTCTTCAGGTGTTTGGTGTTTCAAGAATCGCCTTCTTCGATCTCTGATCTGCACAATACCACTCCTTTCTTGAGCATTCAGAATGCTAGCAAATTCGGACGCCAAGCTCGGCGGAATCTGCTTGATGTATTTGGACAGGAAAGCGATAGGGTCGGCATGAAGAAAAGAGAGCAGATGCTCTCGCTGTTCCAGCTCGTCAGATTGGGAGAGTGGGGACGCATCCAAAGAGTGCAGCTTCATCAACCATGTCGATATTCTCTGTCCTGCCACAGCAGATAGCGCGCGCTGCTGTATGGCGCCTTGGTGATGCGGTGCAGCAAGGCCGTTCGTGTCCATTTCGACGCTTAATGGACATTCGGAGAAGAGAAATGTGAGAACTATTGTTTGATGCGCGAGAAGTACTCGATCAGAGCTGAGGCTAGCATCAACTTGCGATGTGAAATAGGATCATGTTCAGACGAGAGCTTGGTGTCGAGTCGAGTTGGTGTCGTGCAATGATTCTCGCTCCGCTCGGTACCCGCATGGACGTGCGCGTGCGCTCAGTCTCCAAGCTGCGAACGCGAACAGATGTGGAGGCTGCGCACCTCTCCCATGCAATAATCGTGGATAAACAAATACCTTTGTCTCACAAAGCTCACAACAGATGTTGACTGCTGCAAGGCGGCGCCCGCCTGCCTGCTGACTGCTCCCACTTGCGCTCATCAGAAACGATTCAAGCACAGATCGACAGCGCTCAGCGCTCGAGAGCGGCAAGAAACTGGAGTGGTGACGAGATCTGAATTCTTGATTGATAGGTGGTACGACTACCGGCACTCTGCCACAGAAGGTACTGCAAACTTGGCTGGAAAGTTGAAGAGTGGATCAAAGATACAGGAGCGCGTAAATTACACAAACAAACGGGATGGAGTGCGCAAGTCAAAGCAAAGGTTTACGATCTGGCCTCTGGCTGAGCAGAGCTGCCCAAGAGCGGCGTGCTCTCCGTAGGGACCGACAGAGCCCCTGGAGTTGCGCTAGACGGTCGCTGTTCAGGCGCAGAGCTCGCGTCGATAAATGGCTGAGTGGCCAGTGCAGGAGTCTCTTGCGCTGTGCCTTGTGTCGGATCGATGGAGGGAGAAGCAACGACAGAGCCCGCGGGTGGAGCAGGAGGTACCGGCACCGTAACGTCCCGCTTGCATATCGGACAGACCTTGCGTATGCGCACGAGCCAATCGTCGATCTCGCTCCGATGAAAGATGTGTCCGCAGGGCAACACTCTGACTTGATCTCCATCGACAAAATTGTCAAGACAGATGGCGCATTCGTCGCAGCTATTGAGACGGCGAAGGCTAAGACGTGAGCGTGGTGAAAAACGGTGTCGAGAAGTAGGACTCACCTGTAATATGACCGCCCGGGAGGTAAGTGAGCATGGGATGGGTTCGGAGCCGATGCTGCTGCACTTGCAGAGGCCTGCGCTCTCTCTGCCAATGGGGTCACGACAGTCGTCCGCGCAGGATCGCTAGGGCCAGCTTCTTCGTCGGTCTGACGAGCAGAAGTCGGCGGAGAGACAAGGGAAGGCGCAGCGGCAGCAGAAGAGGACGCCGAAGCAGAGGCCTGGCCGGGCGCCGCATTTGCGATAGGCAAATCCGAATCGTTCTCCTCCACCTTCTCCCACGGCTGACCGTTGGCACGCCAGATGAGGCAAGGCAAGGAGAGCACCACAACCTCGGGAGCTCTGTCTTTCTTCCTCTGTCGTGCAAGCCGAATGCGGTGCACAATGACGGTGAGAATCGTCATGAAGGATGGCAAGAGCAGCAACATCAATGCTAGATCAATGAGCGGCCATTCCCACATGATGTCGTCTCGACCCAGGATGATATCTAGCCCTTTGCTCCTTGGTCCTTTGTCTCCCTCTGGAGCGTGGCACTGATCGGCATGCTTCAGGCACCATTCGCGTTTCTTGTGCTGCTCGCGCGCCAGCTCTTCTACCAGTCTTCGCAAGTCGACGTAGGTCGGCCGAGTGATGAAAGTGCTCGGAATGCGAATGTCGGAAGTGTCGCCGGGCGCAAACATCGTTAGCAGTCTACCTGCCAAGCCTGGATCGTCGGCATCGGATCCGCCGGGTGAAGGTCTCCAAGAGGCTGAAGGAGCGTCACCGACAACCACCGCTTTGGCTCCTAGTGCTTGACTGACGCGGACTTTGGCGGCAAAGGAACAGCCGCCTCCACGCTCCACGAGCGCAACCCAGTCGGAAGGAGGCCGGACAGAGGTGGCAGGAGAAGCGTTTATGACTGCAACTCCTTGCACAGCTAGATCAGAGTCGTCAGAGTCGCTCAGACGACCAAGATCAGTTCCATCCTCGCCTTCCTTCCAGCCCGGCCCCCCTCGGTAAGGGCATGCGACGTCGGCGTTCCACGGCTCCTTGGCAGCCTGCGCTGCGGGCTTTATATAAAAGTCCGAGATGGGCAGCAGCGAGCCACGCTGCCCTTCGTCTGCAGTGATGTGAGGACCAAAAGCTGCAGGGCGTGTCACGTAGCGAGCTTGCGTTTTCTGAGCAAGGTGATAGTCGAGAGGACACGCGAAGCGGAGCCAAGTCAGTGGCGAGTTGCGATCAAGGACGCAAAGCAGCACAATCTAGCACTCACCACAACCTCGAGGGTGCTGCCGCCCCAAGCGAATGTGGTATCTCCATCACCAAAGAGACCGCCGCCAGGCGTTGCATTCTCGTCGTCGGTGGGCAGGTGGAAAGTCGACTCGAAGGAACCATGGACGAAGCTGGGCAGGTAGCTGGGATCGGATGGGAACATGATCTCCATCCATCGACCAGCTCCGCGCAGGATAGCAGACGAGAAACGACTGGCGAAGGATGATGATGATGAGGTAGCAGATTTGAAAGTGGCGCTTGTTGATGCTCCATTCGAGGACGTGGCATGGGCGAGAGCGTGTTGCTGAGTGAGGACCAGCGCAAGTGCTGCGAGGGCAACAGATCGCTTTCTGAGAGCTCGTCGACTACTCATGCTGCCTAATCAGCGGAGGGAAGCGGTTGAGCGCGATGAGGGACTTGGCTGGAGTGAATAGGAGAAGGCGGGAGTGTTGAGTCAGGGTGTGGTGTGTACGCTGCATCAGCTCTATAGCTGTGAGACATGAGTGGGCAGACAAGTCAATTGCAGTCCACGATCTTGAATGATCGAGTAGTGTCAGTCACAGGACTGAGTGCGAGTGCGAGTGCGAGTGCGAGTGAGTGAGTCAAGAGTGTGGTCCAAGCCTGCGAACCGCGATCATCTCGCAACTTAGCCCCGTCGCCACCGCGCCCCGCGCAGGCTGGTCCTCATCTCGCCATATCTCATGCGCCCCGCGGGTCACGCTCCACGCACGACATCAATAACCTCTGCATGGCCTATTCATCACTTGACTCTCTGCAGCTGGCTTGTGACTTTTGCGACATATCTTGCTTTCTGATTCACGATTACGGTACTTGCAGCGTGCTTGATGCGACACGTGACAGTCTCCTCCTGCAGCGGTTCAGGGTGGCGCCTTGTTGTTGCCTCTGGACCCAGACTCACCACTCAGCGTCACTCACGAGTCTTAGTTCACAATCACAATCTTGAATTCGTGATTCTGATTGTGATATTCACAATTGGTTCACGGATGATTGACCAGGACAACTTGACCTGCTCGGCGGGTGACTCGCGTGCATCGTGCCATGGTCTCAAACGCATCAGAATGCTCAACGCTGCTGTGCATCGATTCCAATTCACATTTTGATTCAATCGGCAAGTTCATTTAGCGCGCACAGGATTTGACAATTCTGTTGTACACGTCTTGTAGGGATGAAAGAATAGTTGCCACCAGAGGATAGAGATGATTGCAGCTCTGACCACAGCTGCGAGAAGCAGACGGAGGCGAGATCGCTCGAATTCACGCAGGCATACTTTACAAGGCAAGTGCCAGCTCACGTCAGCGTCAAAGAATGATCACAGGGACAACGAGACAGCCATATTATTCAGTCAAGTTCATTCAAGAGATGGCAAGGCAGCAAGCCACTCACGATGATAGAAAGAGCGAGCCAGTTTCACTCTTGACACTTGGGCATCTTGCGCCAAGGACCACTCCAGAAGGGATTTGGATGGTCGGACAAGTGACACTTCTTCTTCGGGTGCTTTGTTGGTGGCTCCTCCTCGACAGGGGGCTGGTCGGGCAAGAAGAATCTTACAAATGGGTTACCCTCGATAGGAAACCTCTTCACCAAGTTTGAAGCTGCACTGGTCGGCACGCTGTAGCGGCGGGAAAGCTGCTCAAGCTCGCCTGAAGTCTCCTTTGCTTCAATCGATTCCTGGATGTGGACAATGGCAAAGATGCAGTCAGCTCGGTCGATTGATGCACCCGATGGTCAGGGTTTTCCGCATCGACCACAGACACTGACGAGGACTGGCACAGCTGGATTGTGCGACTAGCCAGAGACAGCAGAGCAACGCAGAGGCAGCTGAAAAGAAGCTTGTGCGCCATTTTGCTGCTAGACTTGCGCTGTCGAAAAAGCAGGCGAAGCGCTTATGTTGACCAAACTTGACGCAAAGACAACCTCAGTGGCGAAGAGGGGATTCGAGCGTAACGGTAGGGGTTTGGAGCATATGGTCACGCATACGTTATCACATGCGCACATTTCAAGCATTGCTATCCTCAGCGTACGGACTACTCGAACGCCGAGCGCGTGGTGGTTCGCGAGAACGAAAGGCACATTCAATGATTCTGGCGGCACACGATGAGGTAATGTCGGGAGGCAAAGAGCAACGGAAAAAGCTTCCGGCTCTGGGACACAAAAGCGCCCTTCCGGTACCAACGTCGGTCTTCACACGCCGAGGAAAGGTGTTTGGTGCTACTACTACGATATCGTAAATAGTGCAGCATGGAACCAGTCCCGAAGCCCCGACATTGCGCTACTTGTGCGACATTCAAAATCGCTCTGCGCAAATATCCTTGCCGGTAGTGCTGCAGATCACGGACAGACGGCGATAGATGTTCAAATCTCGGGCAAGTGCACCGAAACGCCAATCCATCACCGCTCCTTCATGCCGGGAAAGCTAGAGCACAACGCCATCACGATCACTGCTGACCTTGAGTGACCCCGTTACGGGGAGAGTGGTTACAAAGTTGAGGCCGAGAGGGCTCGCAATCGTCCAATGGAAGTCCCACCGAAGCCCGTCTGTCGCCTCTTTTGACAGCATTGGGCGAGCGCGAGGAAAAGAAAGGCAGAAGATGTCGCGGAGACAACGACACACTTGAGTTACAGGCCACAGATAGGGTAGACCTTGGGAGGTCCTACCGTTACAGCGCTTGCGAAGACTTACAAAGTCGTAAATTGGATGCTTTTGCGCGCGTTCTACTCAGTTCCGAATGGGGCCAGCGGTATAGAAGTGGCGTCGACCCGCGAAATGGAAGGGTGACTGAGGCGCCGCACACTCAAACCTCGTCGGGTCTGTGAATACGTCTGTCCGGTTACGAACGAAGAGCATAGCATCGGAAGAGCAATGTGAATGAGCAGTGTATGGTCAAGGCATTTCAAGTGCTACAAGACCTCGGGGACATTCAAGCTTGCCACATTGCGCTGTCTGCTTCATAGAGTGAGTCGGATGCCGTCTCGTCGTCTGCTATTCACGTTGCCAAGGCACTTTTGGTAAATGTCATTCGGAGCATTCACGATTGCAGATTGTTGATGAATGTTGCGCTCCTTTGACCGGTGCACTGCCCTCAATATGCTTGCCACAAACAGTATTGAAATCTGAAGGTCAGGCCGAAGAATGACCCAAGTCGGTGCCCGCGCCTAACGGTCTGAGCCGTGCCACCTGTTCGTCATGCTGACGGATGGGGACGCAAGGTGCAGGCGCGCAAGGACCGCCGAGAGATGTGGAACGTCGATTTCACCGCCATCACAATCGTGAATCAAAGCTTCAACCGCGAGTTGTGCATGGCTGTATGGCGAAGTAGCGGCCGAGCATTTACACTGCAGCCGTCTGGGCCTTGGGTGTATGCTGGCCTTGATCAAGCCCAAGGTCTCACTGCCTACAGCCTTCATGATGAGTGCGAAGTGCACAGGAGGCGTGCGTGCCGCCGTCAACGGCGCTCCCGGCTGTGCCTGGTTTCACGTGGTACAGCACATTCGTGATTGTTGACCACGAACGCTCTCATTGATCTTGCCTGAGTCTGAGCCGTGTGGGGGCGCTCGAAGCAGACAAGCTGACAGAGGAGATGATGGATCAATGCGAAACGAGTGCACTTCAGCTCCTTGATTGCGTTCTTGAATGCGAGAATTGGATGAAACTTGTACCCGGGGTGTGCCTTGCTCGCCTCGCGCTCTGTCTTGATCAGCGCGGCCCTCTTATCCCGACCAAAGTCCAGAGTGCCATCCCACTGACGTTGTGTATCTCTGACAAAGGAACGCTCATAGGATGAGCCGCTGTTCAGGGTCCGGTAACTGCTGCCCTGTTCGGAGCTTCTGGGCACCCTTTTGTAGACTCGTGGTCACTCAGACCCGAGGTACCTTACCCCGCGTCGCGGCTTCTCACAATTCGTGGTCAAGAGTAAACTCGTACTGTGCGGCCTTATGCTGATGTCTATAGCCAGCAATAGTGCCCATCTGGCATCAACTATACATGTCTTCGACCCGCGCTACAGGGGCCGGCAAGGTGACACTCACGCCTCACCCTGCCTGACTCACGACTGACGCGTGAATAGAGTGGTGCGTATCGTTTGGTCGGATGCGCTTCAGTGAGCTTGACACAAGGTGCCGCACCGGCAGATTCAGCAGAATGAGACAACAAGGGCCTCTACGCACTATAGCAGCGCATACAAATCGCCCCATGCATCAGCACGCCGTCGGCGTTGAACAGGCGGTACATGAGCAAGGCGTGGTAAGCAGCAGCGATTTGAAGGCCTTATCCACTCACACTGTGACTTCTCTTCTGGGAAGCCAACTGGGGTGGGTGCTGCATGATGCTCGATGCTCGAGTATCAGGCCTGCCTTGATCTTTCTGTTCCTGCTCCACACGAGAGTCACGAGCTAAGAGTGCATGGTTGATGGATGGCCTTAACAATTCTGTTGAGGCACAAGAGATGAGTGCACACAGCTTATTTGTGCAGCAAGCAACGATGATGGACAAGATTCCGACTGCGCTCAAGGCTTTACGTTCCTCACTCACAATTCGAGATTGGAGCGACGAACACTTCGGAATTGGCAGCTTCCGCGACGCACGTTCTGAGCCTGCATTTTTGTAGCAAATCGTGTGACTCAGAGTCTTGCGTTGATGTAGCAGCTGCATATCAACAGTCGTGTGTGCGTGCAGACAACCAAAACGTAAATGACTGGCTTCGAACTATGCGACGATCGAGGTATGAAATCTTGACGAGTCGCAGCCTAGCTATATAGAGCAGACAACTTTGTGTGAAGATTTCAATTCTTGCGCCCAAGGAGCCGGCACTAATCGGTCATGTGGGCAGTCATTCTTGATTCGCGGGATCGCAGCAACAGCGGTCGCGAGTCGTGAGTCGTGAGTGCGAGTTGCCCGGCGTGCATGCAGTCAGAGGCTGCGCAAATAGCCCAGGTGCCTGATGCTGGCTATTTTGTACGTGCGGTATTGATGCTCTACTGCTCTGCCCTTCGCTGCTGAGCCCTCGATGCTGCTGAATTCTGATGCAGTCCAAATCCGCGACTGTCCTGTCAGCCCTTTCAGCCGCGGCGAGTGTCGCAAATGAGCAAACGCGCAGCCCAGCCTCATCAACCATGCAAGCCTAAACATACATAGAGCCAGCAGCAGACACGAGCTCGAGCATCGGCTATAAAGCTTTGTGCCTGCCAGCAACGCTTTGACCCCGTCCCCTCTTATGTGCAGGTCCACTCGCAATTGCTGTGACTGTGTTCAAACAACCATCGCTTCTCCGCTCACTGTCAAGTACAGCGTGGTCCTCTTCGTTGGTCCCTCCTCTTCTCGTCCCTCTGCCTCCGTTCCGCTCGCAGGATACATCTGCGAATAGCCTCCCGCTCCCTCCCACAACAGTTACCCACCTCGCAACGCAGCCAAGCAGAGCGTAAGCATTGGAGCTTTACAAAGCTGACAAGATAAAGCGCGGACTCGACGCCTGCAGGCGGTACCGACAAGATGTCGAACCAAAATGATAATGGCAATACTGGCGCTTCGGAGTCGCAGATGCCCATGCTCACGCTGGCATACCTCAACCATGCTATCTCCTGGACATATCCGATTATTGCTGCTCAAGTCATCGCCATGCTCGAGTGCGTTCGAGTCCTCCCAGCCGAAGTAAGTCTCTCCTGATCGGTAGCGCATCGCGTTCGACCAGGGTCTCATCGCACCAACGTGTGTTGCAATCCATCAGGTTCGCATGATCATGCGCGCTTACAAGCGGCGCAGGCTCAACGCTGCCGAGATGCTCTTCTTCATGATCAAGTATGCGACGGTCCTGTCATTCAGTCTGGATCTGACGATCCAGCTGACGCAGCTCTTGCAGAGCGACGACGCTTGCTTGGGTGCAAGCTGGGCATCGCTATTCTTCCTTTTCTTCGCATCGAGCACTGTCGTCGCCTCTCTCTGCTGGCGTGCGCACATCATCTTCCACAGATCGTTATTCTCTCGCAACTTGCTATGCATCGGCTTGCTTGTTCAGATCGGCATCTCCATTTACACACTTTCCAAGCAAGGCAAGTTCGACACGCTCTTCAGCGATGGGACAGCCGCCTATTGCAATCTTCGCAGCCAAGTCGACCCCGTGCTGGCCTCGAGACCGCCTCCTCCTTGGTACAGTCTCAGTGCACCGTGGTTCCTCTTGTACAACACGCTGTTCGACGGCATTATCGTAGCAACAACCACCTGGCGTCTTCTCAAAGCTGCTCGCGGGCCGACCGGCTTCGCTTCCATCAGCAAACGCCTCTTCGCCAACGGCATTCAGTATTCAGCAGTGGTCTGCACGGTCAACCTGGTCGAATTCATTGCGATTATGGCCGCTTTCAAAAAGATGCCGTCGCTTCTTGGGCTGTCCATCTCTATTCAGGTCGTGACTGGAATGAGTGAGTACGAGATCGCTGATCCGGTCTTCCCGATTGTAGCTTGAGCCAGCCGAGACTAAATTCCTGCTTCAACGTTCACTTTCCTGGACCGACCTGGACAGATATGGTAAGTTTTCCGTGGTGCCGCTGGAGTGCCAATGCGCTCACCAACCATGCTTGTTGCCTCTACAGCTCATCTCTGAGCAAGATGCTGTGCACGGCCACTACGGTGGCATGTCTTCCATGGTGAAACCACCCCAGTACCGTTCCGACCCTTCCAGTGGTAGACCAGGCTTCCCAGCTCTGCCTCTTGCATCTTCAGGTGCCTCTTCCCACGCCACGTCTGGCTTCGATTCGAGTATCAGGGACTCTAAAGCTCTTCTGACAGCTAAACCGGGGTTTGGAAGGGGGCAGGGCGGGACCGCTCTGCCTTCAGTACCCATGAGGACGCTGTCGAGCTCGGGACACGGTGATCGTGATATGGATGGCTTTGTGCACGATGCAGAAGCTGGCATGTACAGTTCCACGACAGATGACTACCTTGCTAGCACTCTGTTGGAGAAAGGGGAACTCGGCACACCTCCAGGACCAGCCCCACCCTTTTCGATGCTCTCTGGCACAAACTCGAACTTTGATGAGACGCCTTCGGAGTTTGGCGACAACGTGGACTACATTCGATCTTCTGGGAAACGCGCGAACGAATCTAGATCTTTCAATTTGGGCGACGACGGCAAGAACGACTTGTCGATCGGCGCCATTCGTGAACGAGCTGCAGAGCTGAAGAGGAGCGAGAATGAGCAGTAAGTCGAGAAACACGAGTGAAAACCGCGACGACGTTCCTGACAATCTGCCGCGATGCTTCTCGGACTGCAGCTATCACAACCGCAAGAGCGTCCCGAGCGCAAAGCCCTCAATCTTTTCTGGAACTGATGGCTTTGGCGCTCCCGGACCGCACGGGAAAAATCAGATCATGGTGGAGACGACGCGTGACGTCACGCGCAGCTCACCTGTGCGAGACACCGCGCTTAGCCGCCTGACCACTCCTTCAGGTGCCGGTCCAGACGAGGATTCTTTCAGCACACCCAAGCGCAAGCCAATGGACCCAGTTGCTTCTGAGATCCTGCCGGGACGTCACCTGGGACACACTCCCAACGCCAGCGTCTCGTCGATTCACGATCCTCGTTACCAGATTGCAAGATCATCTTCGGATCCGAACTCCCATCACGGGCAAGGACAGCATGGCATCGACCCAGTCGTTGCAGCCGCCTACCCGAAGCTCGCTGCTCAGCAATCGAAGGCTCATCAGAAAGATAAGTTTGAGGGAGATCGAGGACTTGACCATTCTTACGACCCACCAGGATCCGCTACTTCTCAAGCTAGCAGCTTCGCCGCAGGTGAGCCTCGAGTGACCATTTCAAATCGCGCCGTCGATCAGTTCACTACGAACCAAGGTGGTGCGACGAGCGCTGGTCACCGCTACTTCTGAGCAAGCCGAGGAGAAGAACCACATTCAGCAGAACCCTGAAGACTAGCGCCTACCAGTGCTAAATCTGCATCGGGTGTCTTGCCTTCTACCCCTGCGTTGACCCCCCGTCTTTCTGCGATCTTGGGCCATTTGATCGATTGAGCTTGACTCGACGATGGCGTCCGAAATTCTAATGGTACCCGACCACTGTTTGTTGCCTCTGACTAATACATTTCGTGTCACCTAGTTTGTCGAGGGATGAGCTTGCTTTTGCGAGGCGCTCTTGGTATGCTCGATTGAAGTGATGATTCAAAAGTGGATGAGTCGATGTGCGGTTGCGAACACCACTGTATCGACCATCGATGATCTGGACCGAATTGCTGCACGTTCAGCACTGGGATTGCACGGACATGCACACACGCACCCTTGCGATGGATGAACAGACATGCGCGCCCGACTTTTTCACGTCGGTCGACTGCATCGATCAGCAGTGCCATGCATGGCTACCGCGAGCCGTGCCTAGCCACCAACGAGCCATGCAAGATGTGCACGTTCTCTACGGTACGTGCAGCGGTGCAAACCGTTTCTTCGTCCAAACGCACCAAGAGAGCTCGTTTGTACATCACACTCACACTATCCCTTGCCTCTTCTCTCTTGACGCTGAAAGACATGTCTTGAAAAGCTTGTTGCGCCTCTTTTTAATAAAACAAGTGATCGACTTGCTTTGCGACAAATGGCACGGCGTTGACAGGACAGGAGACCGGCGCGCTCGAGCTAGGCGGGACAATGACAGTCGTGATTGCGAAAAAAAAATGGCCCGCCGCTGCTCGCATTCGCGCCTGATGGCGCTTGATGAGTTTGAAATAAGGACAAGCAAGTCACGTCGAGTGCTCTTCGATTGAGGTCGCAATGCCCGTGCATGCTCGATGGGGTCGTCTAGAGGGCCTGAAGTGTAAGTCGTGGATAGGCGACACCCCGAAGCACCAAAGAAATGGTATGATCCGCGAATCAAGCGCATATGCATGGCAAGCGCAGCCATGAAGGTGGCTCGATTCGATCGTCTGAACGCCTGCATGGGCGCGCGATGCGCGCGCGAGCCTGCCTGCCCACGCACGGTATTCTATCCTAACGGTATCGGTATCCGCAGTCACTGAATGAGAGTCACGAGTGAGTGCCCCGTCTGATGCACGATCGTAGCGTCGTCTGCGAACGCGGCGGCAAGGCGGCAGCAGCAAGCAGCAAGCAGCAAGCAGCAAACACCACGCACGAGTGGGCATCTGCCAAGCGCCGTACATCTTCTTTGCGACCATCTCCACCGCGACTCCATCCACGCAACCTTAGTTCTCGTGACTGCTATTCGCAATCAGCCTCGGCTTGCTTCGATATACACCAAGCATTACATCTGTCTCGTTTGGTGGTGTCAAGATGTCTACTCAACCTCTCCTCCAACGCACCGCTGGAAAGCGCATTGCGCTGCCTGTCCGAGTCGAGCCAAAGGTGAGCAAGGACACCAGGGTGCATCAGCAGAGATGCTATAGCGAAAATGGTAATTCCGATTGCTCGGCTTCGGAGAGAATGGGGCATGGAGGAGATGAGGACAAGATTGGCACAATGGCAGCAGGGAAGTACAACGCGTCTTGAAGCCAAACAGCATTGCGTATTGAGATATGATGTAGATCGCCCTTGAAGGTAGGAATGGATAACGAAAGAATAGGAAGTGATCGACCAGCGCTTCATCGGCAGTGCTCAGGAGCAGGGAAGCAATCTGTCACATGCCGAGCATCGAAAAAGTATCTCTGCGCTCGATGATCACGCCTGACCTAGGCATGCCTGGGGGGCGAATTCTGAGCAGATGGGATGGCCAAACAGCTAACGCGGCTATTCTCTTTGCCATTCAGGTCTTCTTCGCCAACGAGCGTACCTGTGTGTATGCGTCTCCATCGCAGTCCTGTTGCGGCATCCAATCCTGACGCGCTGCTTGGCAATCCTCCTACCCCTCCCTTCGTTCTTAGTCTTGTCATGGCTCAACTTTACAGTCACCCTGTCTGCTCTGGCAGCTGGCCTGCTCAACTTTGGCGACAAGGTTGGCCGCGTGTCTGCTGCCATGTTCAGCTTTGTCGGTGAGCACAGGGCGATACACTTTTGGAGACTTCATGCTTTGGGGAGGGAGGGGCTGCTGTACGCCCATATGAAGCAGCAAGGCGCACGCTCGCCTCAAAGATGAGGCCAGGTGTAGAGTAGCTTGTTCGATACTTTCAAGGCTTGCAAAAAGACTGACTTGGCTCGCTGCTCTACGTGCCATTACAGCAATGGCCATCATGGTCTACGCCCTCGTCACCTACCACTGGCGAGCTTCGGCCATTCGCAACCGAGGAACAGGCCCCTACGACGACAGGCTCGGTCCCACCATGCTCAGCGTCCTCTTGCTCATCGCCGTCGTCGTCAACTTTATCCTCCGCTTCAATGATGCTGCATAGGCTCGCCGTACAGTGCAATATTGGGAGAAAGACTTCTGGAAGCAGAGATCGGAAAACGCATGGAGGAGAGGCATCCTTCTGTGTCTTGGTTTCCTATCATGTAATCGCATCCCCCTTCAAGCGCCAATGACCACAGATTGGACTGAGCTTGAAATCGAAGAGCCAAGACACGCGAGCGAGAGCAATCACAATAAACGAGGACGTCCTGAAGTCGACTACCAAATGGACGAGGCATTGACTTTCATTCATGGGTGCACGCAGCTCATAGATTGCTTACGTGTAGCTGAAGGCATGCTGGGGGCGTAGAGTGTCAAGAATCAAGATGCGAAGTTTTGGTGTGTGTGACCTATTGAAACAGACGACACCGAGGCCGTCGTACTTGAGCACAAGGACAGCCTCTACATTCAAAGGCCCAAGTGATCATAGTGAGGCGAGCCTGACCTGCGCCGCGTGCAGATGTCGGCTCTCATTTCCGAGCGTTGAAGGGGCTTAGAACTTGCTGAACTTCTTGGCAGCCTTGACGAGACCACGGTCCTTGTTCACTTTGAGGACAGTGAATCGGACAGTCTTGGACAGAGGCCTGGTCTGTCCAGCAACGATGGTGTCACCGATGTCGACTCGGAAGCAAGGCGAGCAGTGCACGGGGGTGTTGGTGTGCCTCTTCTCGTAACGGTTGTACTTGGGAATGTAGTGCAAGTACTCTCGGCGAATGACGATGGTACGCTCCATCTTAGTGGACACAACCTTGCCAGTCAAGATACGACCACGAACGGAGACCATGCCGGTCCAGGGGCACTTCTTGTCTGGAAATCGAGAAAAGCGATGCAAAATGGTTCAGCAAATCGCTTTGTCGTGCCAGCTTGCAAGCACAAAATATGAACAGGAGCGTTTCTTTGGCTGTCTTTCCTTTCACCGATTCCTTAACCCAATGCCTGACAAGCCTGATCCTCTCTTCCCGACCCGTGCCTTCAGTCTCCCTTTACTGCTTCGACGATCCTCCAACCCATTCTAGTCATTGCCTGAGTATTCTACCGCCCCTAGAGTTCTGGTGTCCCTTACAACGCCCAGAGGTCTCTCAAGGGCACACTCACCGATGTAGTCACCATCGATGGCAGCACGAGGGGTCTTGAAGCCAAGACCAACATCCTTGTACCATCTCTTGTCACGAGTGAGGTGACGAGTCGACTTGGCGTTCAAGAAGATCTTTTGGCGCTGGAAAGCACGCTGGCTTTGTACGTTGAGCTCGGTAGCCATCTGCGGCAGGCGAGGAGGCAAGAATGGGGCGTGAGCAAATGAGCAGCTTTCGTCTAAAAGGATGATCACTGCGCCTCCATCGTTTTGACTAGACATGCACGCAGAGCGGCGAGTCTGTATCATCCAAAGATGCATGGACAATGACTGATAATGGGTGCAGAAGCAGCAATGAATGCGTGTCCAGCGGCCAGGAGAGGGCCAGGTCCGTGTGCCAGCATGCACTCCTTCCACACACCCGGTCTTGAGTGTACAAAGCTCTTGATTTGCCCCCACCGCCTGTTGCGTCGTGGAGCCACATGTCCCCTTCGCGGTCTGTGCTACATCATGGCGTTCGTGCCTGCCGTCCACCGACTGAATGAAATGACTTCCACTCCCAGACGCTTCCCTCACAGCCCGGTCCTCATCTATGCCATCGACAGCTCTTTCTCATTTCGTGTCCCGGCTCTGCCACGATGAGAGAATGCTTACCTTGACGGATTGAGTTGTCGGAGAGGTAGAGGGCCGAAAATGTTAGCTGTGTGGTCGAAGTGATCTAGGTGCGCTGTGGACGTGCAAAGCGGTAAAATCGACGTGAGGTTCACCACCCGGTCGTTGCATCTGTTCTCGCCGTGGCCGCTGATGCAAGTCGTCGCGGTAGAGCTCAGGCGCGCGCCGCAGCGTCGCAGATCCTTCTCGATCGCGCGCCTCCAGCCTCTGCATCATGCTGGCTCGAACGGCTACGCGGGGAGTACGCACAAGCAAAAGACCACGTGGCCACCCGATCGAAGCGCACGCAGCATCTTCTGAACCCAGCAACCGCGCCCTGCGCTTGAACTCACTTTGCTCTGTGCCTCTGCATTCCACTCATCTCCTACTTAGAATCACCCATATACAACCAACTCGGGGCTGAGGTAGAATCCTATTTTCGATCCATCGAAGAAGCCCTACCTTCTCTTTTGACACCTTTTCAACAACTCTGTTAATACTTTCCATCAAAGATGTCTGACATCGAGGAGACTCCCGCTGACGTCGGCGCCGAGGTCGAGGTCGAGGCCGAGGCTGAGGCTCCCGCCGCCCCCAAGGGCGCGATGAGCATCGAGGATGCTCTCCAAGAGGTGCGTACGATCGCTTACACGCTCAAATTCTCCCTTTCCCCCTTTTGGCTGACAGTTCCGATTCTTCCCTGGCCTTCCATGTCTCGTTTTGCAGGTTCTCAAAAAGGCTCTGATCCACGATGGTCTCGCGCGCGGGCTGCGCGAGTGCGCCAAGGCTCTCGACAGGCGTCAAGCTCATCTTTGCGTCCTTGTTGAAACCTGCACCGAGGCTGAATACATCAAGCTGATCGAGGCTCTCTGCACCGAGCACAAGATCGATCTCCTCAAGGTTTCCGACCCCAAGACTCTGGGAACCTGGGCAGGTCTTTGCAAGATCGACAGAGAAGGCAACCCGAGAAAGGTCGTCGGTTGCTCTTGCGTCGTCGTTCGTGACTATGGAGAGGAGAGCGAGGGTCTCAACGTCTTGCTCTCTCACTTCAAGAGCCGCTAATCAGACAAAGTCGGTCGCATTGTGACGTGAGTATCCAGCTGGCGCAAATGGAGGGCAGCGACTGAAGGGAAGGCAAGCTGCTGGGCGCCTTGTTCGGCAAGCGATGAAGAGGAATGGACTCCCTCGACGGAGGTCAGCTCTGCCAAGGGCTTTCTCTTTGAGGACAACCTCCAAACCGGAATCATTATTTATGCGTCTGAGCTTGCGCAAATGGGCAGGCAGGTGGCTAGAAGCGTTGCGCTTCACTCGTGTATACGAGCGTGTCGGAGTTGGAGCCACGCAGCTAAACCCCCCGTTGCTCGTCTTTGCTTGTCTGCAGTGAAGTCAACACCAACCAAAAGCTGAATGATCATGTTCATGCACCATCTCGTCTGCGTGACGCTTCGGCGAGCCTGTTGGAATAGCGCTGCTGGTGACTGCTCGTCCCTAGTCTAGTCTTGGCAAGCTTTAGAACTCTGATACTTGTGTGCAGCGTTTTGGTTCTATAGCGCAGATGGTTGTAGCCAGCTGGTCTCATCACCCTCGTGTTCGACGATTTGCCGCCCTTGCCCCTCGCCTCTGTCTTCTGTTCTCTCATCGTGGCGTATGAGATCCCATGACTTTGGTCATCAACAGGCCTCGAGAAGGAGTGGTGCTCAGGGATCCAATCATTCACCACACATGACTATCTAGGCTCGGGTCGCAAGCGCGACTACACCACTCTTTACACTAGCTGCGTTGAGGTGTGCCAGCGACTGTTTTTCGTGGTATGAATGCAGCAACTTCAAAGCTCGTTTGTTTACAGCTCCGTCAAAGAAAAGTCCAGGTGTGGGCCCATTGATCCCTCCTCCTCCTCCCCATCTCCTTTGCCCACATCCTTTCCAATTGTCTGCAATGGCCCACCCTCAAGTTTCTGAGGTCTCCCCGATCAGGGCGACGATCATTCTGTTGAGCAACGCGCCAAAGCAGAGCAGCTTTAGCTCCAGCGCTTCGACGTTAGCTCTGATCAACAGCAGGCGCACTCACCGGAATAGGTAGTAGAAGAAGAACAAGAGATACGCTGCCAGCTTGATGAAACACTCTTTCTTGTGTTGGCTGAGCGTCCGGAAAATTTCCGTCGCGTCCAGCAAGTGATTCTTGTTCATCACTCTGGAAATTTGTGAAGTTGAGGTGTACCGTCAGAAGCCAGAGCATTGCGACAGAATATGAGAATACGCAGGCGCGACTCACTTGTTGACATTGTACGCTACCAAAGGCGCATTCAGCAAAAATGCTATCCATTGGCCACAAAGCAAGAACAAGACTGCACAAGCAAACGCGGTGATGTGTCGGTGTCAGCCAAGGGCATCATTTGGCAGTCGAAAATAGACCATGACTCACCTGTCAAGGAGCCGTGAGCAATCATTTCGGGCACAGTGAACTGCGGATCCGGCACGCTTTTGGTGAGCATGCTGCGACAACAACGCGTTCCACATACTCCCGAGCCAAGGCGGACAATAGCGCCCACATCGACGGACTCCTTCCTCCTCTTCGCGTGCGATGCTATTGCAGCCTTGACCAAGCAGGGCACCACATCCGTTGAAGTGAGACGCCACATCGGCTATCTACTGCCCTCCTCTTCCCCCTGCGACGAGTTTCGGCAGGAGTATCCGTACTAGGCCTGCACTACCCGCCTCTCGTCACTGTCATGATGTCTGTGCCCCTTGTGGAAGTGAAGGCCTGTGAATGGACCATGATGAGGCGCCGCGATCGGGTGCTTACCTGGTTGAGCTTGTTGCACAGGTCAATGGGGTTGATGTAGTCGCATTCCAGATCGGAGAACATGATGATCTGCGAATTGAGGCATCGAGCGAGCATAATGAGCGAGTCGACACGTTGATGGGCCTAGAGCTGCGAAGACTCACGTAAAAGACCATTGTGAAGAGCAATCCTGCAGCGAGCAGGACCGCAAAGAGGAACAGCCATCCTGAAAGCGCAGTGAAGGGAGCAGATGTGCGTATGAGCAACGGAGCGCCTGGCAAGGAGAAATCGCGCCTAGCTGCGATGTCGTATTGCGCGATACATTTCTCGTTTTCGCTATTCATCTCCACCCTTGCTTTCACTGTGCAGCAAACCCTTCGCTTCCTGACTGCAGTGATGCAGCTCTTGGGAAGCATGCAGAAGCCGGGGAGAATCTGATAGCTTCCATGCCAATATTTGCTCTTTGTCCAGCTGCTGAATGTGCAACGCATTTTCACGCCCTCTCACCTTCGCCCGTCATGGTGTCCAGCTTGCTTATCGCAGAGGAGGGAAATAGCGGTAAATCTCAAGACCCCCTAGGTGATGCCGATTCGGATCTGAGCTGGCAGGCGCAGCCCCAGAGCAAGCTTGCAGTGAGAATGGCCGATGGGATGGAGCGATTGGTGGTGGTGAAGCTTGGATGAGGCTTCGCGCACAGCAACGTTGAGCAGGGAGGTGCAGGGAGGTGCAGACTTCGAGTGGCCGTCGGCTGTGGATCCGATGAATGCATCCGCATGCCGCGCCCGCAACATACCTACATGTGTGTAGCCGCTGCCCTTCGTTCTAGCCGCGCTTCGCACCGCTGTGCAGCAGCCTCACGCGCGCACGCATCACGCACATGCGCAAGCGAGTAGGCGATGGGTGGCCCTCGCGCACGAGCCTGTCATCGTTCGTTGACCCGGTGAAACGATGGACGCGCAGCAACATCGAAAGCATGGGCAAATGCAAGACCACGTGACTGGCTCAGGACGCTTGCCTTTTGACCCTTTGCTCTTGTCTCTTCCTCCAGTTGACTCGAACATGTAACAACACATCACAGACAGGTGTGCCACTTATGCTGACGCGCTCCCTGGTTCTCACGAAGCGAAACACATTGTTCATTGCGGGTTGGCGTGCGGAATATGCAAGGACGAAAACGCAACATAGAAACACTTCGAGACACTTGGGGCAATTGTGGGAGACCGTAAGGGGCTCGTGGCGGGACAGGTGGAAAAGTAATGGATAGCATCATCAGAGCCAAATAAGGGGGGGGGGGGGGGGGA